AACTGGTCACAGTGTTAAGGTGATTCAAGGAATGTACATATATAAATTTTAAATTATTTAAAAAATTATGATAAATTTATGGTCACTTAATAACTAGTCCTAAATTTATGAATTGGGCATTAACTTTTTTTGGTAGTTTAGAAAGTGGCATACATTTGTGAACATTTAAAAAACTTGGCATTGGAAATCAGAATAAGATTCTATGTTTTTAAAAAATGTTGGTAAATATAGGCGATAGTAAATAGTCTATGACTATTAAATTGTTTAAGGGGACTTAAAAGCCTAAACAGGAAAAAGTTCGAATGTGAAACGGTTAATCTATTTTTTTTATTTTTTTGTTTTTTTTTTGTAACTCAGTTCCAATGGAAAAAATTTGATGTGCAACTATTAAGTGCCAAACACTTTTTTTTAGTTTAGAAATGGTTTATGACAAAATTGTGTGTGACCAAAAATGTATGCCCAGGATTTAAATGGCAAAAAAATTAGTGCCCACAATTTTGTGTCTAACTTTAAAATGGCAAAAAAAAAGTATTTTAAAAGTTACCCTAAATTAATGAAACATGTAGATTTTGCCAGGAATTTATGTCCACTTCTAAAACGACCAAAGATTTATGCTCAATTTTTAAAAAGCAATAAATTTATGTTTCACTTTTAGTTTACCAAATCTTGATGAAGTGTATATTCAAAAAAATCAAATTTTTTGAACCAAATTGAGGTGCTTTGGCATCAACTCTTTGGGTGCTAGTATTCAAAATACCCCGTAGCGTATGTCATGCATTTGCCACTTAAGTGTCTTGTACGTTACGTCTTAATTGACGTTGGGCTCCATTTATGTATATGGAAGACGTTCAGGACTTTTTCATATAAATGGTAATTTGGTCATTGATATAGTATATATTGGGCTCAAGAAGCACGCCAAAAAGCAACTGGCGGTATAATTTCGATTTGGTGTTTTAAAATTTTGGAAGCTGCGTCTCTTGGTCTGGCAAGGCATCGACATATTTTTCCTTAATACAGAAAGAGTCCATTAGTAAAGAAAATGTGAATTTTGTACTTAAATATACTTACGTATGCAAGGTGTCAAACCAGCTACCGATATCCATCGGAGTCCACCGCCCGAAGCCACCGAAAATCCAGCAATGCACCCACCGGCTGGCAGGAGCCATCGCACGATTCCCTAGCGTATTCGCCGATTGTTCACAAGAACTCTCACCAATCGTACGACATCATTTACACGCCACCTATCCTCCACCCATACCGACATCAGTTACCGTCAGCGACGATCGTCCTCAGTCTTACGATAATTCTTGCTCACCGTCTCCAGCATTATCATCGCTTCAGTAAGCTTTCTCACTGCTCTAAAGCCTCTCTGCTCTCCTGCGTTGATTTAGCCCAATTAGGTGCATGTTTGCTCTAGGTACACTCACTGAAATATATGTAGTATTTTATTTCATAATTAGCAAGTTAGATATCCGTTCGATCCTGGGTTGCTAAGCATTACCGAAGCCCTGAACCAAACCTAACCAAATACCGAACCTTATTTCAGGCGGAAATTTGAATCAGTGCTAATCAGGGATTACCTCGTGGAAAAGGCTGTTACTCTCACGAAATGCTAAGCTCAATGAACCTTGCATGGCCCTCAGCCCTTCTTTGACCCATCAAACGGGGTGCGAGAGATTTAGATTAGAACTCCAGACCAAGCCTTTTATTGCTTACAGACACGCGCTGCAGTATAAAACGTATAGCTGAATAAAGTCCTGAAAATCTGAAAAGCGTTGGACGCCTGAAACGATTTTTGTGGAGTTCTAGTCTTACAGCTTCCTCTCGTCGAGTCTTTGAGCGACTGCTTAACTTTAGCTGGCAGGATTTCAAAGTTTTAACTAGATATCAGACAGGGAAACTGCCAACTAAGATGCGAACTTTTGTAAGACGGCACTTGCTGAGGAAACGAACTGGAAGTTTATTAGGCTGACGCAGGAAACTCAAGAGTGTACATGTGATGGCCCAAGTCTAAATAAGTAACATAAATTTATATGGGTGTTAACTATGTCACCTCTACTACGAGGGAAGTTTGGCAATTAAACTTGACCCTCTTCTATTGAAACACCCTTTATGCATAATTACATATACAGACACAGATGTTTACGTATGTATGTAATTCGCTTTTCAACTGCGACCATCAAAGTCAACTGCGTACATTTCAGTCAACAAAAATAGTTTTTCTATGTCAAATACATAGACAGCTTTTATACTTCGTCGCTCGTATTTGATACTTTTATTATCGCAATTGGCTTTGACTTTGTCTTTCCCTCTAACACCCTTCTAACAGCGTCCAACTTGCTACAGAAGTGTTACTACATATTTAACTGTGGAATTTCCACTCAACTGAAATTTGTTCTTTTGTGCACTCTTTCTAAGCAAATGTAGGCATTTTCTCAACGACCACTAAAATAAAAATTAAATAAAAATATATATATAAGCTTGCACTTAACTTACATACATATATATGTGTATTTAGTACTCGTCCAAAGTTAAGTTTATAATTATGTATTTGCACAACGAAGTGCGGTGTCAACTGCTGTCGGACCTTAGAGCTCAAAGTATTTGACACAAACTAATTAACTCGAAGGGTGAACGATTTTTTAATATTTATATACGGGTAGTAAAGTGTTCACTGAATACTTATTTAATGGTTTAACAAATATTTGTTCTTTTAATGATTTAAATGCAAAGCAACTTTTATTGAAGAATTTAAAAAAGCTTGGTTAAATGAAAATTTGTTAAAGCAGGGTATGCTTATCATTTATTTAGATTTAGCATGGGACTATTTAGTATGATATTTTCATCCAAACCGAAATACTCGGATAATACTCTCGTCTTCAAGTTTGCATGGAAGCAGAACGTCGAAAAGAGCCATCGCTAGAAAACTTAGGATATGATCGATATTTAAACTAGCTTCTATCCGTACTGGGTGTCTATAGTATTTTCAAAACTTTCGTCTGGCCGATCACTTATGAATCTGAAGAAGCAACTGTCAAGCGTCGGTATATCAGGCTGATCAATTTTAACGTCCGAAAATTAACAGGACCAGTCAAGTCGTGTGCTACGAACTCTGCAGTCAGACTGAAAAGTCAGGTTGTTGGAGGTCAAAACAAGACGGGAATAGGGGTGTTCGTGGCAAGCTTTAAGAATTATGGAATTAATCGGACCACAAACACATAAGGATCTCCTTCGCAAGATTTCAAGAAAAACTTTAAGGTGAAGTTTTTCTCTGGACTAGACGAAAGTATAGACAGGGTTATCGAAGAGAATTCTGCTAAAATCTGTACTAACAGGTCTAAAATGGTGTGAGTGCGCGGTATTCTCAAATATGCTGAATGTCTAGCTTGCTTTTATGAGGACTGGAGGAGGTCGAAAGGTGTTGAAAATAAACTGTGAAGTGGGGCAAGAGGCATATGTATATTCTCTGAGAAATCTCAGTGCAATTCTTGGCCGCGCCAGAAAAAATTAAAGCTCGCCGGCTGAATCAATAAATATATAACTTTTCTGGGTTCACTGCAATAGGCACACATATGCAACTATCCCGAGCGATAAACCCTATACTGGAGAAATTTACCATTCGCACGCATGTCTAATAGAAACTTGGACCTCCTGAACAACTGCAAGGAATATCGGGCAAGGCCTTGACAATTCAGAAACGTAAGATTTCTTAAGGAGATAAAAAAATATCGTCGCTCCATAAAAGCTTAGAGCCGCTATTCGGTATTGGCCCAACGAATCATATTGGGTTCATTGAGCAGCACACCGCAAGAAGAGTTGAATAATGGCTTTTACGTAAAGTAAGGAAAAATAAGTGGTACCTATCCCCGGTAAAGAATGATATTAACACCTACACCGATCGATCGAATATGAGGAAATGAGCTGGTTTGTATCGAAGCGCGGCAAAAGGTCTTGTGTTTCTCGCAAAGATTGCAGGCCAATCTCTGTCTCTCCATTTGCACTACAAAGACCGGTTGATATTTACGCGATCATGCGCTCGATAGAACAAGCCTTTATATATTAAGACTTTGCCGTAGATATCTTCTCTTCAAATTCGAAGCGAATTGAACTTTATATATCGCATGCTCTGTGCAAGAACTTTATTGCGACGGAATTGGGCAGTGTTGCCATCCAGCTTCGGATAAACAGGGTGTTTTCACACCTCTTCTACGGATTTTGATCGTAACTAGAGAACCCAGAGAGAAGAGAGCCGTGGATCGATCTAGATCGTAGTATGACACGAACCTTCCTTCAATCGAAGGCGCTAACTTAATGCTTTTAGTCTTTGATCATATCCCTGATAACCGAAACACTACATGGCTGGACTAACGCCAGTCAGGTCTATCTCGACTCACATCTCCTCAACCTAACAGTGAGAAAAAAAAAGTAGTTGGAAAGAGGCACCGGTAAACTATTAGACGGATCGGTCAAAGCTTGACGGAAGGTTTCGTGGAGGGGTCTTTTGTAGGGAACTCTCCATATACCTTAAGTTTGCGCTTACAGCATATTATCAACACTCACGGTGCACTAAGTGGTAGTTAGGGAATGCCTAACCTCTTGTTTGAGTATAAGCACAATAATATGAGTGTGACATTGTAGGAAACTCCATGGTTATTGAACTGGCCTAGAAAGGCATTCTCAAGTCGGGCTCTTCGAGAAAAGAGAGAACGGGAGTAGCTTTGACTGCATGCAGACTGCTCTTGAATAAATGAATCTCGTGATAGCTCAGACGCATGTCGAAAACTAGGACGTGTGTTACTGCACGAGCTTCGTCGCCGAGGGTTTACCAAAGGCGGTCAAAGGCGTATTTTTTCTTCCGTCCGTCCTTTTCTATGGGTTCTTGTGGAATAACTGTTTCAACTATCATCATTGTTGTTAAATAAGTTTTCTATCTAATTTGATTTGAAATTTTTTCACCGTCCATATACTAAGTTATTTATTTTCTTTCTCCATCCTTTCAGGTCCACGACTGGGCTACCGACTTTTGTGACGGCACTTGCCTCTGTGCCCTAGTGGAGAATCTACAAACCCGTCCACTTAAGCCATCATGGAATCGCCGTCCAGCGAATCAACATCATTACCTGGAAAATGCTACAACGGCGCTAAATGCCATCGAAAAGGATCACATCAAGCTGGTGAACATCGGCAATGTCGACATTGTCAATGGCAATGTAAAACTCATTTTGGGCCTTATCTGGTCGTTAATTGTGCGTTACCAAATTGGACGCAGCAAGTTCCCGCCCAGAAAGCTTATGCTCGCCTGGCTGCATGCCGCATTGCCCGAGTGCAAGATCACCAATTTGACAACAGACTGGAATAGTGGTGTTAACTTGGCTGCATTGTTGGACTACTGTCAACCGGGACTATTTCCACATTGGCGCTCGCTAGATCCTAGTCAGAGTGTGCGCAATTGCACGAATGCCATGAATTTGGCGCAAAGTGAGTTCGGTGTGCCAAAAGTATTGGAGCCGGAATATTTGGCTTCGCCGTGGTTGGATGAATTATCTGGCATGACATATCTCTCGTACTTTATGAAACCTGGTGGACCGGGTTACAATGCAACCTTGCGTTGGGTGAACACACAAACAAAGGATTCTGTTAAGAATTTTACGGTAAGTTTTGAGTGGCTTCGTGATATTTAATCCCACAGTTTTGTATTGGCTTGGTTTTTTTAGAGTGACTGGAATGATGGACGCGTTATGTGTGAGATCATTAAAGGACTGGGCGGACCGGCACCTGCGCCCGAAAAACTCAGCACCGATCCTTTCCATTATGAGAACAATATACGCAAAGCAGTCGAGGCTGGTCAGCGTCTAGGCGTACAACCCATACTCACGCCCAAGGACATGGCTAACCCTGAAGTAGAGCATTTAGGCATAATGGCTTATGCCGCGCACTTGCAATGGGTGCCACCGCGCCCACCACTTTCTGACCTCATAAACGTACTTATGGAAAGCAATTCTGGACGCGTCGGCGAGCCGGTGAGTTTGAAATTTTTAAAGACCCAAAAATAACAGTTCGCTAATTTGAGTTCTCTCCCACAGACTCACTTCCGCATCGATGTGCTCTCGCGTGACATTAGCCTTAGCACGGTGAAAGCTTTTGTAGTACCGCCATCAGGTCAACCACAGCCGGTACGTTTAAATCCACATGGCGAGGGTGTCTACATACCCGAAAAGTACGGCATGCACGAGATTATTGTAGAGATCGGCGAGGACAGCTTGGGCGGACACTTCTTCCGTGTGCTGCCACGATTTATACAAGTAGCGCCACCAGGTATGGCACCCTGTGCACTCGGCAGTCTTGTTGAAGTGCTGGTAAATGCAACCGGCGCGCCAAAGACCGAAGACATACTGGTCACAGCCGTCTCGCCGACTGGCATCTCGCACAACTGCCCATTGAAGAAGGTCGACGAAGGACACAGTGCCATATTTAAGCCGGACGAAGCGGGAATCTGGGAAATCGCCATCACCTATCAGGGTCGTCACATACAGGGCGGACCATTCACTTGTGCCGTCTTCGACGCCAGCGGTGTCTCTGTGCATGGTTTGGATGGCGCTATGCCATTGCGCGCGCACTCCTTCGAAGTGGATGCGCGCGGCGTTGGCGTCACTGGCGAACTGCATGTGGACATTGTACATGATAAGCGCTCGCTTGTATGTTCCGTTGAGAAGATTGTCGAAAATAAATATAGGGTCACTTTCATGCCACGTCATAATGGCAAATATCGTGTCTATGTATATTTCAATGGTTACGATGTGAAAGGCTCGCCATTCATTATGCGCGTCGGCACCAAGGGCCGCTCGGGCAAAACGCGCAGTAGTCCCTTGCACGAGAGCAAACATCGCTCGGAGAGTCCTTCAATGCATTACACCTCAACTACAAATACAAGGCACAACGACTACAGGAATGCAACATCCGCAGCGACAGCCTCGCTATCGCGGCGAGATTTATTGAATCACAATAGCTCGGAACGGCAGAGATCATATTCACCACAGATATCGCCGAAGGTCGATGCAAACGACTACCGCACCACATCGAGCTACTACAAAAGGGAGAGTGAGGTAAGTGGAAGGGAGGGGGGTGAAAAATAAATTGAAGTTTATGAGCTTGGAGTGGACATTTGTGCTAAAATCATGCGTATGTAGAATAAGCTGCTATAAGCTGCTAGGCTAACTGCTATCCAGCTCAGAGTGCTGCGAGCATTGAGTATCAGTAACTTCGCTCACTTACTTAGTAAATAATCATGATGTAAAAAGTACTCTTACTAACAATAACATTCTGCTGTAACTAACTCCAAATAAAAATAAAATGAAACCAGCACCGCTACACACTGCCTCGCACCCGCGCATCCGCCACTAAAACGCTGTGTAAAAACTGAAATTATACTAACCAATATCTTTAATTTCTCTTCCCATCATTTTGTATGTTTGTATGTACCCGTATGTGTTTGTTACCCATGCATCCTTACACCTACACTTTTCCGCGCGCGCACTTTCTAAAACATCACAAAATTGCGTGCGCAGGACGAATTGGCAACATCCACTCCACCACCACTGGCTCCCCAATATCTCACACGCGATCAACACAACAATTCGCCTAATACTAAATATTTCAATTCGACCGATTTATATACCCTAAATACTGCACGCCGTGACTCGAAGGTATCTTCGAACTCTTCGACAACCAAGAACGACTACTACTACGACAAAGAGAATGAGTTGTACTCGTATCATCGTAAACGTAAAGATCGTGACTTGAAATTGGCACCACCGCGCGAAGAACGCTTCGACGACTCGCCAACGCAGGCGCCATCGCTTTACCAACAATTCCATGTGCTGCAGCAGCAGCAGCAACAACAGAGTCACACCGCCAGCGCCAAGGCGGCAAGCACTTTTACTACGACACGTCTCAGCCCGATACCTAGCGTAATTAAATAACCTATTTTTTCAATGTTTTTGGTTAAATGTTTGTTGTTTTTGGTTTTTTTTCGATACAACTGCAGAATTGTTACGTTGCCAATAATTTATAATTTTTTTTATTTATTTACTTTTGCTAACAATTCTGCTTTTGCGTTGCACTTCTCACAGATACGCTCGAGTGAAGTACGCACCCACAGTCCATTGACAATTAAAACTTCGATTCCATATGAATCGAATCCGCGCAATTTAAGCAACAGTCCACGACACACCTCGATTTCGCCGGTGCAACGATATTCGCCTAGCAACGCCTACATTTCAACAGCCACACATCGAATCGGCAGCCCAGTCACAACTCTGAATAAGGTGAGCTAAATTATAATATTTCACAATGTCTTTTAAATAAATTTTGGAAATATTTGCTGGTTAATGCGAGTCCATTTGTTTTAACAAGATTATTGGGGCTTACGCCACGAATGATTTTTAGGTTAATGGAAAAAGCAACAAAGTCAAAGCGGTAGAAGACGCTATACAGTTTAGTAGGTGGAAATTAAGTTTGGTATAAAATACTGAATGTACATAAATATGGGCTCTTTCTTATAGGATCCTAGATTCAAGAACAAATTCGATTGGTTTTAACTGTTTGCTTATTACAAGAGTCATATACTCCGTCAGTTAAGGTATTGAACTTCTACTGAATCCTCGCTCTATTGACCCATATGGGAGTCTACAAGACAAAAATTAGGGAAATAATATTGAAAAGTTATAAATTAGTTAGACGTAATGGCCCCCACGAATTTTGTTCGGGTGCTCGGGTTCCCGGGGTTTGCCCAACGGAAGCGCTGAGAAGGAAGCGCATTAGTTTTCAACCAAAGCGACGTTATAGGAAACAAGGACTATCTGGCTCTGGTTCGACTAAATGAGAATCGCCCTCTAGTTCTGCCGAAGAAAGCGTTACTCCGCACTTCCTAGCGAGGATTGCGCGCACCCACTTAGCGGAGGTTATGACTTTTCTCAAGACTTATGAGATGAGGAGATGTTGGAGAGTGACCGCTTGAGAGAAAACACAACGGAAATCTTAAAAAGACTATTTTTATAGTATAAAGCCGTCTGGGAATTTTTCGACATCTTCAACACCTCGGTAGACAATACGATAGTTCCACGACGATACTCCGAACTGCTTATGGGGAATTGCACGACACTACTTAGCGGAGGTTATGACTTTTTTCGGGGCCTCGAAGACGAGTAGGAGGTGGTGAATGCCCGCTTGAGCGGTAATGCGACTGAAAATCTTAATTAGACTATTTTTATAGTATACAGTCATGTAGGAATTTCTGGAAATCTTCAACGCTTCCTTAAGAAAATACGGTGGTTCCAACACAGTTGTATTGGAGGCAGCAAGATTTTTATATTTTAAGAGTTCACTCATGTGACATCATAATGGGCTGGACTTCCCAAAGGAGAAATGCAAACTTAATTAGGTTATACTAATCAGGCAATTCTCAACCACAATACATAATTTTTAACTAGCTTACCAAAGAGCGCGGTATTGGTGTCCGCATTTTCCAAAAGCTACATATTATTATCGGATTACAAGAAACATGTCCGGAATACATCGCTCTTCGTGAGTTCCTCAAATATTAAGTAGCGTTCCGCAAACTATCAAGGTCTGAAGCCAATGTGAGTTTTCTGCTTTTAGAGGATTTCATTGGCAGGGCTAAGCTTCAGCCTCAGGTTCTCCCAAGTATCAGCAATACTTGTCAACTTCTTGTACAGAAATTTCTAAGAGAGTTTATCATCACACTTTATCATTCTGTATCCGCGCACCACTTCCGTGGTATTAATACTAGAGCGGTAAGTATCCGGGTCTGTCACGACCTTGTCGATAAGGCCACTTAAGACTACCGGACCTCAAAATCCTCTGCAGTGCTACCTGTATATTATACCTCGCCGATGCGCTCGTGGATTAGTCTTCAGAAAACTTCTTATTTGTGGAAGCTCTTGCGGTCACTTATCCCCCGCCAACTGAAAGGGCGTTCGTTACGTGCACGGTCCCCTACCAGCTACAGAGTACGCCTGCTTTTAGTGTTTTTGCCGAAATGCTTTTGAAGTAGAAAGATAGTGTTAGCTGTACATCTCACAGTACTGACTCCGTCGCCAGATTCCATAGCCTCCCAACTAGATAAAACGAGCTGCTCATTCGCAGAGAGTACGGAGTGCTTGTCCATGTTTTTCATATCCTGTAGAAGTAAGCGTTTGGCGTATTGTTTTTTGTTGTTTGAGGCATTGTCTAAGTTATGATTTTCATCAAAGGCTTTGGTCGCCCACTCAGTCACAGACCAAGAAAAAACTTTAGGAGAAGCAGCACTGGGCTGTACCGAAGCTAAGACGTTCCTGTACAACCACCTAGCGAGTGAGAAGGGGATTAGTTAGCCGAAAATTCCTAGCCACGACTTCGGAGCAGCGAGCCTTTCTGCAGGTTCATCTGATCTTAGCTGGTTATCATTCAGTTGACGCACAAAATAAACAGAATAAAAGTTCAGGGGAGGAAATTTTTTTCACGACGTGGACGTTGTAGTCCTAATCAAAACCGACTTCTGAGTTTTTATAGCCACAGTTTGTAAATACTGATTCGCAATCCTTTTAAATTAAATGAATTGGCTTTTATTCCACGTCTGGACGCCATAAGTTTTGTATCACTTTTTTATTTTTTTATTCTCACTTACAGAACGGTCTTAACCGCTCCGACTATGAAACTTCTCGCACTGTTGAAAAATCGTCCACATACAAATCGACCTCTAACTACGTTTCCGATTCGAATGTACGTGCCAGCCCCTCGCTCTACACAACTGCCGAGCGCTTGCGTCGCACTGCCTCACCCGAACCGCGCATCGATCATTCGTCGAATGTGCGTGTGTCATCGGTTAAACCGACAACGGCACGACGCGATAGCTGGGATGTTATCAATAAAACCAAGCATATGCTTTCACATAATTCGCTCGAATCTTTGGCAAATATGACGGAAAAGCAATTAAATACGGACCTCTCGTATAATCGACCCGATATCGATCACGAAACACATCGCAATACACAATACAACAAATTCGCATTACAAGAACAGAAATATCACTCAGATCGACGTGGATCACGTGATTCTGTCGATGATGTGGAACGTTACAAGTGAGTTTAGCAAATGAAATTGGTAATGGAGTAACTCTTTAATAATAATAATTCGAATTTTTCACTTTCACAGACCCAGTGCCATTACAGTGAAATCACACTCGAACAACACTTATACCGACAAATCAGGTGGCTATACAAAAACTGTTAAGGAATCTAGTGAACACGTTGTTACGGAGCGCACTTCTGGTGGTACGGGCGCTGGAAATGGTCAATATGGTTATAGTTCATTATCGCGATTTCGACCCATAGACAACAATGCAACCGGAGCGCGTGCTATACGTGTACAAGATATACCAAACGGTGCCATTGGACGTCCCGTAGAATTTGAGATTGATGGCTCAAAGGCGGGTTCGGGAAATTTGGAAATACTCGTCAATGGTGGGCGTGTCACATCGTCGGTGCGTTCGCTGGGCGGTCAACGCTTTGTAGCTAGCTTTACACCACACGAGCCGGGCATACATACTGTGCAGATAACTTTCAATGGAGAAACAGTGCCGGGTGAGTGAATGATACTCGTATTACTTATACTGATATTATAAATGTGTAAGTTTGTGAGTAAACGGCTAAACGAATTTCAATAAAGTTTGGCGCACAGATATTCTATAAGCTGGATTAATATATAGGATATTCTTAAGGGAGCTGCAACCTTTTTCAGGACTTAAATCAATCAATAAGTTAAATAAAATATTATAAAAATGTGAGTGTCAAACTGAAAATTTTGTTTCGAAAATATTTTTGAGAGTGTTGCAATCGGTTAAATATATAAATCGATTAATTAATAAGTTAACTAAAATATCACAACAATGCGGTTGCCAAACGAAATCAACTCAAAAATTATTTGTTTAAGAATATATTTTTTAAAAAGGTTGCCACCTTTTGAGAAGCTAAAATTAGGTTAATTAAAAATTTGAATAAAATGTTTTAATATAGGTATCAAACGAGAGATATTCAAAACAATTCAAGTAAAAAGTTAAATAAAACATTTCTTTCAATTTCAATTGAATTGACAAGTAAAATCAAATTCTATTAATTTTATAAATGTGAAAGTGTGTGAGTGAATTTGAGAGTATATTTGCTGGCTATTATTTGCATTATATATGCCATACAGATGACCAGAGTAACATATAGCTAATTTTTTGAAGAGGGATACACCCCGCTTAAAATTTTAATTCTACTTTAAGTTTTAAGTTCAAAGAAATTTTACAATATGGATGTCTTTAAATAAAAAAATCAAATTCAGTTAAAGTGAACACTTGCAATATGGAATATCTTTCGCCTTTAAAGCAAATATGTTTCGCTTTTTCCATATTTCAATCTATTTACTTTACTTATTTATTGATGTTGTTTTTTTTTTTTATTGTTAATCGGGTGGCGCTAATGCAGAATTGCTAACCTCCTATGTATTTACAAAAAATTCACCACTAATAAAGGCTACAATTTACCATCGCTTTATGTTTGGCTTAGTCGAGACCAACACCTTCGGCTGAAGCTTTCTTTACTACGACTCTCAAACTGTAAAACGAATACAGTTAAATACAATTTTGAAGCTACGTGTAAATAATTGGAGCTGCCTTTAAGCTTTTAAATTGTTAACAATTGTATGTATGTATATATACTCTGTTCCATAACTATATCACCATCCATTATATTTTTGTCATACCCTGATTTCTTGTACCTGTGAGGGTAAATTTGTACGCAGTGTCGATTGCTTGTCGCATCGCAATTTTCTCTTTCGTATCACATTACAGAGAAGCCCCACCTGGTATTCCGTGGCCACAGCCAGTCATGAAATCGAAGCTACTGTGGGAAGCTTAGTGTGTGTTTGCGTTTTTTTTTTATTTGGTTACGACTCGGACTATACCCAATCTCCTATGTACGCTGGGCCTGTGGCACCCCCGCGGGACTATTAATTCCGACATTTCTTCACAACGAAGGCACTGGACGTTATTCTGTATCATACCTCAACGTGCGGTTTTCGCGCCACGCTGTTCGTTCATCGTGCCTTAGACGCTTCACTACGTCAGTGATGATATCTGCGCATTCGTTCCATATGTCTTCTTTAGACAACATCGCCTTAAGCAGGCTTTTGGCCAGCATTCGAGCTGGTTGCGTTCGTCTTCGAATCTATGGCAGTCCATAAGGATGTGCTCCGCACTTTCGTATTTACCATCGCAATAAAGAAAACAAGGATGGTCAGTATGTGTGTACTTTTGTAAGTACTGTCAGAAGCAGCCATGTCCGGTTAGGAACTGCATGAGATAGAAATTAGTTTATCCGTGCTTTCTCTCGATCCATTCGCTTACCGTTGGAATCAGCTTCTTCGTCCAACACCCTTTCGTGGTCGCGTCCATCCTTTGTTGCTTAGATTCTTCTGCGCCCTATTCCGCTATGTCTAATGGTGGTCTTCCGGCCAGCCAATTTGCAAATTCGTCTGATACTGTCACGAAGATGGTGCACTTATATATGCGGGTACGGATGCAGCAGCTGCGCAACTGACACCCGCAAGCAGCATCCTTTTTTTATGTCTCGGGCCTCCTATGCTTGGCATGAGGTTTGCCATCTCTTCCCTCTAGTGCTTTTCGTGCGATATAGCAGACAGCAGCTAGCGAGTCAACTATTGAACGCCTTTTTCGGAACCCATACTGTTTGAGAGTCCCCGGTCTCCTTCCACGATGAGCCGCGCGCATATAATTTATTCCAATAGTTTGCCTGCAGTAGCCAGCATGTCCAAATGTCTGCGCGATTACGGCCCCTCGAGGGGCGTCTTACCTTTCGTTAGTAAAACCAGTTGTTGCCGCTTCCATTTCCCCCGAAAGATACCTTGCTGTATGCATCTTGTGTATAACTGGCTAAAGAGTTAAGGTTTTTCCTAACTATATGTTGGAGAATGCCATTCGGGATTCCATCCATGTCTGGCGATTTTTTTGCCTTCATCTTAGCTACGGCGGCAAGCACTTCGGTGGTGCTGTCTATTTGATGTGCTTGTGGGTCGGTAGCATCACCAATTCTCAGCGTAATGCCGCCATGACGACAAATGACCGTTTTTGCTGGAAATTTAAGATTTCGATCGAAGCGAAATGTAGTTTCAAGAAAACTAGGCCATTTTTGCACGATAACTTTGCAGGACGCGTTATTTCGGAAGATATTTTATTATTTTTATATTTATTCCTTTATTTACTCTATATGTACATACACATCTATGTATATAAAATAAAGTTACTTAAAGGTTGACATCGATAGCCTATGTTGCCGGGATCCGATCGTGGAAACACACATTCGTTCGTCTCAGAGAGGAGAAAGTTTACATCTAAGTGAGTTAAATTAATTAGTACAATATACATATCAATTTCAAAGGCTTTATTTCTAAATACACGTTGTTGAGAATTGCCACCACCTATTTAAAAAACCAATTCAACTTTAATTAAGGGAATTAGGTTACTGAATTATGTATAAGAATATTGATGTCAGACGAAAGCGGCTCAAGAAAGTTGTAGTTCAAAAATATTTTGAAGAGGGTTGCCACCTGTTTAAAAAGTTATATTCAAATATTTGATGAGGTAAATCAAATACAACAATATGGCCAACAAAGCCTTCATTTTTGCACTATATGAAGGAGGATTGCCACCCGTATAAAAAGTAAAATTAAACTTGAATTAAGGCTGGGTTGCCTCCTTCTAAAAAAACAAAATTCCAAATTATTTAATAAGTTAAATGAATTATTTCTTCATTTTATAAAATCCAATTCCACTTGAATTAAAGGAGTTAAGTGAAATGTGTATAACAATATCGGTGTCAGACGATAGAAGCTTAAGAAGGTTTTAGCTTGAAAGTATTTTTAAGAGGGTTAAAAAAGACAAAATGTGATCTCCTATATTTCTGGCTGAGTGTAAGCAGGTTGAGTTTTATTGAAATAAAGTACAGAAACTTCATACATTCAGCGAAGCGAGTGAAAGCAAACTAGTGAAGTAATAATTAAATTGAAATTCAAATTTAACTGCATTTTCACAAAGAAAAAAATTGATACCCCTGTATTTTCACCTAAATACACAAAAATTTTTGGACGCCGACTTTATTTTATTTTATTTTATTTTATCTTACTTTTCACTTTGAATACGAAAAGACATTACTCAGCTTCTTCTCGCAATCCACACTCTCCCAGAGCTATAAAATGATGAGCGCAAGAAATTACAAAGATCTCCAAGTGAAACCCTCACCTGTAGCTACACACGTGTCTCACATAATAGCAGTTCATTCAACACACAGACACTCATGCACACCCTCACTAACACATATGCAAATATCACCATTTGAGAAACTCAGGTGTAAGCTATCTTAGCTGGAATGAATGAACATTTATCATTTTTTATTTTTGTTTTGCAAAACTTGTACACTAGCATATTAACCTTAGTTGAGCGCGTAGTCGTCACTACCTGTTTGCTGCCTCAGAGCCAGACTTTGCAGAGAGCAAGAGATCACTTTTATGTATGATCGGCGGTCGCACACTAGACACACTGAGCAAAGACAATGGCTTAAATGCTCCAACTCGACAGCCGGTGACAGTCTTAGCTCGCGTTTGAAACGAAACTGACACGTCTGCGGAGAAAATTCGAAAAATCGCTAGTGCACACTAATTAAAAGAAAAAAAGGAAAATAAAACAAAGTAAAAAAAAAACACACACCCAAACTACACAAACAACATTCAAAGGCATTGAAGTCATTGAAAAGTGAATTACTCTGTGAATGAGAATAATAAATTAATTGCAATTAAAAGAAATTTCGCTTTGTGAATCATTTCATAAAATAAATTCGTTTGTTTCGCAAGTGTAGAAAGTGAAATTTTCGGCATTTTCTTACACATAAGAATGAGTGAAATTCTGTCAAGCAATATTTAGAAAGGTGCAAAATTGTTACCGGAAAAAAATTTAATTCAATAAATGCTGGCTATTCAGAAGATCTTAAAAAAAAAATTTAATGTCTGCATTACTCAACAATGAGCCATTAACCGAAATACCAATCAACGAATACCTACAGCCAAATAGTTAAATATTTAAAAACGAAATATGTAAAAAGAAATACCAATGCGACGCGACACAAGAAGACAAAACTTGTCAATTTCAATGGCCAAATATGCAAATGTTGCCATTGCTGTTGCTGTTGCTGTTGCCATTGCCGTTGCTGCCGACGTTTGCTAATGCTAGATGCGCTGTGTCTAGCTGGCGGTCTGCCCAGCGCTACGGGCTATTCGGCTGCTCGGTTGGGGTTTGCCTGGCTCGTTGCCACAGCCACCGCTGCGCTGCGCTTTGGCGCTGCTGAAAAACCAGTTTAATGAACTTTTTCGTTTCGTGTCTTGGAGCGCCAAGACGTTAATTTGTTGTTATGCGTTTTATTTTTTGCATTTTTTGTTTTTTTTTTTGTGTTTTGTTACTTCTAACGCTATTGTTGTCGCTGAATTGATCTCCATTACGAGAGTTTAAACATTTGTTTGTTGGATTATAGAA